TTGGTAATATGATTTCTTAGCTCATTTCGCAACATATTCTTTTGAAGACTGATATCATATTTATGCTTGGAAAGAAATGAAGCAACATGATTTTCTACTTGTTGCTTTAACTGTCTATAATTGTCCTAACATAATTATAATACAAATAGTTAACATAGAAAATAAAAAATTCTGCTTTTTGTTAAAACTAAAAGTAAATTATTTTTTATTTAAAAATAATAAAGAAGAATTTGTATTATACCATATTATCGAACTCCTCCAAACATTCTTTACGAAACTGATCAAACAATCCTTCTGATTTAACACTGCTTACAACATCATTTATACTTTTTTGAGGCTCTGAAACTTCCATATTATCCCGCAACACTATAACAATTTTAATTTAACATGAATTATACAAAACTTTAAAGAATTATATTATTTCATAAAACTTATCTTATTATTGTTAATTACGCAAAGTTGGATATTAAAATAGATAATTGGCTGATGATTTTTGTAATAAACATGATAAAACTAAAAATAAGTCATCAACTATAAATATAAAAAAAAGAAAAATATAATTGAATATATATTTTTGACAAATTAAACTACTTGTATAAATCTGTCGTAGCAAACCATGTTTGGGTAGTTTTTTAAAATTGTATTTACAGTGCCAGAATACAGACTATTAATTATATTTAGGTCGTTATTTTATTTTGTTATTGTTATTTTCTTTAAAAAACGGTACTGTGAAATAACTCACCGGAGCTTTCCGGATTACAACAACCTAAACGGTACCTATTGTTTTGAATAACAAGCGTGGTCAAATTTTTATTGCTTTATAAAAATTTAGAATATAAAAATATTCAAGTATAAACACTAAAAACACGCGGCTGAATAAGTGCGAATTTCATAAGTGCGAACTGGCATAACTTATGCCAGTTCGCACTAATGCCAGTTCGCGAGTCTCAGTGAAGAAGGTTGTAATATGGTTGTAAATCTTATATAAAGATTGGCGCTGAACTGATAACAATTTATTAATATTACAGTTGCCAATTTGTCCCCAAACTTGATAACAGTAGTTGAGATGAGATTGAATAGTTACAAAATACAAATTATTAATGGCAATTTTATCAACATAATGGCGAATTATTAAAAGCATGCCATTAGCTTGATTAAGTTTTTTACGGAGTGCATCTATATGAAAATTCCATGAGAGGTTCGAATCTATAAAAATGCAAAGATATTTAACAACGTGCAGGGGCGGATACAGGATTTTTTGAAGTTTGAAATAACTAACTTCCAGACATGGAGCGAACTCGAAACTTTTATATGTTTATAGCAATATCAAATATGGGTACTTTGCAAAAAGTTGAGATGATAGGAGCCTGGGAACAAAAAAGCCCCAAAATTTTTGCTACACCTGCCCCAAACGTGAGAGCAACAAGTTGGTAAAATAAGTTTTTTACTTTTCTCAACTAAATCTATATTCATCGAGAAATTTTTAACTTTGTAAAACAATCTTTTAGCGTTCAATAATAATGGTCTTATAAAATTTGTAACCCCCTCAAATTGAGGGGGATTCAAACTTTATTTGGCTATAACTTTTGAACGTTAAGAGATTATTGTATGAATTTTACAATTTCTCAATGAATATAGATTTAGTTAAGAATAGTAAAAAAATTATTTTATCAACTTGTTGCTCTCACGTTTCGGGCAGGTGTAGCAAAAATTTTGGGCTTTTTTGTTCCCAGGTTCCTATCATCTCAATTTTATGCAAAGTATCCTTATTTGATATAAATATAAACATATAAAAGTTTTGAGTTCGCTCCATGTCTGGAAGTTAGTTATCTCAAACTTCAAAAAATCCTGCATCCGCCCCTGCATCATTTCTTGTGTTAGAATATAAACTTAGACCTCAAAGGTTTAGTTCATTGGCTAAATGCAAACTTAATTTTTTCGAACTTGGAAAAAACTGAACTAATATTTTTTTCATCTCCAAGACAAAAAATTTTATAAAACAATCGTATAAATAAAATTAAAATTAATAATAGACGTTTATATCCAACGATGAGACTTTTTAATATGCATGATATTAGTATCATCAGCAAACAGATGGACTGATGAGAAGAGGACAGAGTTATTTAGATCAGTAATATAAATCAAAAGCAATAGAGGTCCAAAAACAGAACCCTTGGGAACACCACAAACTATATGTTTGTTATTTGATTTGTAACCATTAATGCTAACAAGCTGCTTTCGATTTGAAAGATAATATTGAAACCAGTTACAAGCAACTCCTCGGATTCCGTAATGTTCAAGTCTAGAAATTAAAATGGTATGATTAACGGTATCGAACGCTTTATTATTATTTTTTTTTTTTGTAAGTCGATAAAAACACACCTACGAAATGACCAGTATCCAGTGTCTCTTTTTTACTTTTTCGGTTAAACTTATTAAAGCGTGGCAAATAGCAAGTGGCAAGTGTTTTGATTGAAATCCAAACTGAAATTCATTTAAACAGTTAAAGGAATTCAAAAAGGAGTATAATCTAGAGTACATTAGTTTTTCAAGGAGCTTACTAAAGTTAAAAAGAATTGAAATTGGTCTATAGTTAGTACATGAGAGCTTTGAGCCATTTTTATATACTGGAATGACACAAGATAATTTCAAAATGTCATAGTGCAGGTCACTATGATTCAAAAATACTCTTCGTGTGCACATACGTGTTACAAGCATTTTTTTGTTGATATGAGACCCTTGTATGAAAAGGATTTGAAAAGTGACAGGTGACACTTAATATTTATGGTTTGTGTCACGTGGATGACATAATAGGCCCCCATAGCAAAAAAAAGTTTTAATCGTTATTTTCAAAATGTTTTATACCATTAGCAGAAACATTAAATGAAAATTTAAAATTATATAAAAAGCATATGTTAAAAATTTTTACTTTATAAGATATAGGACCGGGGCAATTTTTGTAAATAACCGGGGGTTATTTACAAAAATTACCACTAGATAAAAGGTAAATTAAGTAAAACTGAAATAATTAAGTTAATATATATATATTAATATTGGCATTGTATAAACATATAAACAATATCATATGTAAACCAAAACAATATTTATAATTCACAATGTTTAATGAAGAGATAAAAAGACGCCCGGAAAATATATTATTAATAGTATTAGGTCAATTAACCTAGTAATATAAATGGAATTAAAGACATTTATTGAATGAAAAACTTCAAATATTCTAAGATTTCATTCTTAAACTTAAAAACCTTCTAAATTTTGGAAATATATGTTAAAATCAACGTTAACATTCATTATGGGGTCAAAAGATCCATTGTTTAGTTTCCAACCATATAGAGTTGAAGATCAAGTGTCACAATTGTTTTTTTACAACCTGTAAGATACTTTGTATGCTGTATCTTGAGCATCTTTCCTTTAGCATTTGAGTTATTTTGAAATGCAACCCATTTGGTTCCATGAAATTCAAATTTTCCGTCAGCAGTGTCGTTCTTAAAGTCAATGTTATCAATAGCAAAGTGCAATGGCATTCCTATGTGAATATTAGGAGGTATAAATGCACATTGATTATTTGGTATCTTTTTAACAACAACGTTTCCTAAACCATTTTTGATCTTTATGGAACTATAATAGGAAATAGTAAGTGCAAGGTATGTCAAGCAGTTCACCAGCTTCTTATTACGGGTTTCTTTATGCACATGTAATCCGAGGTCGACTGAAAAAGGTGTTTCAGTAACATCTCTGAAATCATTATCCGTTTTTTGAGTAATGTGAGATTTGCTTATTGCTTTTTGATGTCTTTACAATAATTTGCGAAATGTTATCAACAGGACTATCGATGGATTTTTTTTCAACATAACACGAGCCTACATTTTATTTTGGTCCAAGTATAACCCACCTTAGTAAAGAAAATAATGACGTCGGAGTATCAAATCCAGTGAAATTTCCGTCAAACTTCCATTTTCTTTGCTCAAGGATTTCTTTCCGAATTATTTTTGCTGTCTTAAAAATTGTTGTTTAATCATCCGGATTGTTTTTAAAGTTATCTACTACCTTTGCTTAATATTTGCTAGAGCAAAGCTGTTCGGACTTTCTACGGCACGGAGGTCTTGAAAAAACTATTCCTGGCACGTTATCTTGTAGAAGCATCTTTAAGTAACGTTTATAATTAACCTCAGTCTGTTCATTATTCCCAATTAAGTTATTATAAGTTTTATTGATGTTGTTCATATCTATAGCAAAATCATCTTCTTTTAAGTTAGAATGAACTAAACCAATGATTTCTACATCTGCAATAATCCGCCCAATATCATTCAATTCTTGAATTTCTTCTTGAGTTGTTCTCAGTTTAACAGATCTCTGCACTGTTACCCAACACTTTAAGTGGTATTTAACATCATTTGCAACGGCGTCATCAGAATTTGGGATAGTGTTCATTCTAAGAAAGAATTCTTGATCATTAAGCGTCTTGAAAACTTTTAACATTTTTTTCCCATCTGTAAACTTAACTTTCCGAAGTTCACCACCTTCACATTTGCAAATTATACAAAGTTCTTTGTTGTATTCTTGAGATTTTGAATAGAGCAATTTTCCTTTACCGTTTGACATTTGACTTGAATCTTCTGATTCATCTATGTCTACTATGGGTTTAGTTTCAGGATTGCTTGCAATAAATATAATGTGTTGTTCAAACAAACGTTGCAAACTTTTACGGTGGGTAAACATTTTGTAACATTCTGAGTGATAAACACCTTTTTCATCTAGCTCCTCGCGTAGGAGCTAGATGAATTTAGTAATTGCTAGGAGATACTTTTAAAAACTACTTAAAGAACATATCCAAAATGCACCAAATCGTATTTTTAAAAGATAAGAGATGTAAAAATACGTAGATTTATATTTTTACGTAGATATAGGAAATAATATCATCATAAATATCTAAATCATATAAACAGAAATACGATTTTACGATCATCCTCCTGGCAAATAATGCATTTAGTAAAGTCAAAAATAAGTTTTCTTTTCTTTTTTTTTTTCGTTCTTCGTCCTCCATTTGTTATTAATATTTAATATGTGAAACAGCAATAACACAGTATAGAAACGTTTTTAAAAGCCAAAAACAAAAACAAATCATTCGAATTGTTGCATTCTTATAGGTAGATTTATGTAAAAATAAAATAACATTATCAAAACATTCGAAATAATATAATCGTCAAGCATGAAATATACTATTTCATCAAAATAGGTATAATGTTGTAAAAATCCGGAGGTAAAAAAATGAATTTTGTCTAAAATTTGTTTTAAATAATATAATTATATTTTGTAATAACTAATATTTCTTAGATTTTAAAAAAATAATTAAAAAAACATAAAATCTGCGTTCAAAAAAGTATTTTAAAAATTATTAAAAATTACAAAGCAGCGGTTTACCCCGGTTTGATAAAAACATATTTACCTCTGTATTTTTTTAAGTAAAAATTTTCAACACATGTTTTTTATACTATTTTGAATACCTGATTTATGCTCTTTGGATTGGTATAAAAAAATTTAATTTCCAAAAAAAAAAAATTTAGTTACTATGGGGACCAGTTGCGTCATACCACCTGTTACGCAAAACTTTTTTTTTCAAATCCTTATCATTCAAGGATCTCATATCAGCAAAAAGTTTGCTTCTAACACGCATGTGCACACGAAGGTTCATAGTGGCCTGCACTATCAGGAAAAATTCCATTTAAGAAGAAGATATTAAATAGCTTAGATAGAATATGAGAAAATTCAGTATTAAAATCAATAAGAATGTTTGTGCTGTTAGGACCTATTGATTTTCTAGGTTTTAATTTAAATATAAGTGATGAGATTTCAGATTGGTCTGTTGGTGATATCAGTAAACTATAAAGATTCGGATGTTTAAGATAGCTAATGTAAAATGAGTGAATTTTGAATTAAGCTTATGAGCTACATTTGTGAAAATTTTTTTAAACTCTTCGCAGATTAGAGTTGATTCAGTTATGTATGTTTCGTTAACTTGTAAGCAATTTGGAAGTACATTATTAAAAATTTGGACATTTTTTAGACTTTTTATGCCTTTCCAGGTCTCACTAAGATTTTTTATATTTTCTGAAAAGAATTTTTTGAAATGTGTTTTTTTACTCAGTTTTATTAGATTAATTAAAAATATACCGTATGTTTATAACGTTTAAAGTTACTAAAAGTATTTACTAACGAAGAGTTTTCTAAATAATTGAAAACATAAGTGAAAAGCGTTACGTTAGTCTAAATTAAATGATTTCTGGAATTAAATTTTTGAATATATTTTGTTCTTGATATTTTTCTATAGCAAAGATATGTAAATAATTATTTAAAAGAGGGTTAGATAAAACTTTTATCTGCCTTCATCCACATGTCTTCAATTGTTAGATTGATATTACTAAAAAAGTTTACTAACCAAGAGTTTCTTTAATTACTGTAAATGTATTACGCATTCGCATGTCAAAAATGACATGCGAATGCGTAATAGACAGCATTGCCAGGGAAGACAAACGTTCATCAACCATTTTTGATTTATTCAAAATACAAAGAAATGTAGCCATGTGTATTTATGTACAAGGCCTATTTATACTAACCTTTAAAAAGTATTATTTAATTTTAACTTATTAAAGCTACATTCTATACTTGCAACACATTCTATACTTGCAACACGTTCTATACTTGCAACACGTTCTATACTTGCAACACGTTCTATACTTGCAACACGTTCTATACTTGCAACACGTTCTATACTTGCAACACGTTCTATACTTGCAACATGTTCTTTACTTGCAACAGTTACTGGTAAAACAAGAATGATTTGTAACGCAATAACTAAATTAGTATAAGATTTTCGCTGCTCTTTTTTTATAGATAACTCCTTTTTATGTAGTTAACTTCTTCATGTGCCGATTTCAGGCAAATATTTTTTTTTTCTGCTGCACAACTCTGACAATTTTTTAAATTTCATTTCCAAACGCTCAGAATCAGTATTTATACAAATATTTTCTGAACAAGTTATTTTACAGAAAAGACTGGTGATGGAATGGTATTAACATTCCTGTACAGAACCTAAAGTTGTTTATGTACATAGTACATTAATAAATAGTCAAGTGTTATTTTCAAAATCTAAGACAAGAAAATACTACAAATGGAAACCATAATGTTTATGTTATCACATTATTTTGATAAACATTAACTCAGGTTGTAATATTTCTTCTCACAACATGACGATCATATTGCTCCCTAATACTTCTCAATCCTAGAGCATCAATGATTTGCTCTGACAATGAGTTCCAGTGTTTGACTATGCGATTGGTAAAAAAAATTTTGCTTTTGTTTGCTATGGTTTACCAGTTGACAATTTATTTGCATAGCATGACCACAAGTACCAACAGCGGGTCCATCGCAAAGAAAAGAGGAAAAGGACTTGGACAAAGGACAAAGAAAAGAGGAAAAGGAAAAGGATTGAGCTTCGTTTGCAAATTTTGAAATTAATGAAAACCTTTTTTATGAAAATTTTATCGTATTTTTTTGATTTATGTAACTTTTTGTACAGTGAGAGGCATTTTGACGTAAAAAACCTAGGTTCTTTTGGTTCCCTTCTGTTTATTTTATATTTTTTGCAATAAATCCAAAGAATCTATAAAAATATAGCAAAAGATTTTAAAAATTAATTTAATAAAAATTAATAAAAATTAATTTAATAAAAATTAATAAAAAAGAAATTAAAGAAAACTTTTCAAAAATTTTAAGGAAATATTTATTTTTGTAAAAAAAATTCATTATTTAAAAAGCGTTCTAGGCCAAAAAGACATAGATTTGGCTGGGTGTCTTTGATTTATTTTAACATGTTTTGTAATGAACACACAGAATTTACAAAAATATGACAAAAGTGCTGACATAAAAGTAAAAGTAAAAGGTAATCTAGCTTGGCTTTTCGAAATGAATCATGGACTGAATATGTTCTTTGTTTTAACCATTAACTCACTTTTGTTATTGTTAGTCTGGCACTATTATCCAATAATACAATTTCTTATTTTAGAAATTTTTTCAGATTATATACGCTTCTTTTGATTTTAAGTAATTCGTTGTACAGTAAAAGATATTTTAACGTAAAAGAAAGTCATAAAACTTTGTGACAACCTGTTTAAAACGCTTCTTTACTCGACATATTAATGAGTGGCAAAAAAAAAAATCTACTTTATACTAGTTTTTAGGTTGCTGAGTGTGATCAACACATTTGTATGAAGAAATTGGCTTTTTTTTCCTGAGCGTACCATCGGAAAAATCTTCTTAATGCCCAATACTTCTGCAGTTTTTGATGCCTTCACTCAAAAAAATCTTTCCTTGCATAATAAGGAAAAAAATTCCCTTATCTGTTTTTCCGTAAAATTTCCTTCGCGGTAGTATACTTTCTATAGAAAGAATTCCTTAATTTAAGGAAACTTATTTCCTTTTGTCCGAATTAAGTAAATAATGCGGAATTAATTTAAGGAAATATTATTTTATAATAAAGGCGCTGATATCGTGTATGATAAAGGTTCCATAAGTCTTATGATAAAATATTTTTAATTAAGATATTATTTTCATCATAAGAATATATAATATATATATCTTATGTCATAAGAATATTATATTAATATAAGGAATCTATATCATATAATATAATAATATTATATTAAGTTATGGAATCTATATCATACAATTATACTATTATTATTATAGTTAAAGTGATTACTGCATGTTCAATGCAAGGCTGGTTTGTGTAAGTAGGCTGTTGTGTAATGTAGGGTAATTGTTAAACATTCATGAATAATATATGAATGTTTCACAATTAAACTTATATATACATACATATATATATAATATATTATATTATATATATATATGTATGTACATATAAGTATAATTGTGAAACATTCATATATTATTCATGAATGTTTAACAATTACCCTACATTACACAACAGCCATATATATATATATATATATATATATATATATATATATATATATATATATATATATATATATATATATATATATATATATATATATATATATATATATATATATATATATATATATACATATATATATATATATATATATATATATATATATATATATATATATATATATATATATATATATATATATATATATATATATATATATATATAAAATATATATATATATATATATATATATATATATAAAATATATATATATATATATATATATATATATATATATATATATATATATATATATATATATATATATATATATATATATATATATATCTATCAGTGATTTGATTATAAAAGCGAATGTTATAATTTAATTTCCTTGGAGTGAGTTAAATTTATTTCTTTCAGGTAGCAGTTACATTAATTAGTGAATCTACTAAAATTTCGGAGTTTTATATATATATATATATATATATATATATATATATATATATATATATATATATATATATATATATATATATATATATATATATATATATATCTATCTATCTATATATATATCTATATATATATATATATATATATATATATATATATATATATATATATATATATATATATATATATATATTATATATATATATATATATATATATATATATATATATATATATATATATATATATATATATATATATATGTAAATTGTAAATTATGTTAGTATATTTTACAAATAGAGTGTTCAATGTTCTTAAAGAACAGAGCAATAATAAATGAGTAAAAAACACTTATCTAACTTTTTCTTCAACTTTAAGTTTCACCATTGCTGGATCATCAGGAAGCAAAAAGATATATATATATATATATAAATATATATATATATATATATATATATATATATATATATATATATATATATATATATCAGTGATTTGATTATAAAAGCGAATGTTATAATTTTATTTCCTTGGAGTGAGTTAAATTTATTTATTTCAGGTAGCAGTTACGTTAATTAGTGAATCTACTAAAATTTTGGAGTTAATTTGGAAATTTCATTTAAGCTCAATTTTTCATTGAGAATTTTACTTTACATAAGTACCTTATATATTTAAATACTTTTGTAGTTGAATATATATATATATTATTCATAATAGTTATAAATAGAAGTTTTTTACGTTATTAAAATACCTGATTTTGTCAGGAACTCTATTTATTATACACAAATATTATTTTAGTAATAGTATTAACTATTTTTTGTTATCGTAAATATTGTTGTTTTGAAAAATATATGGTTTTACGTTATATTGTAAATATTTATAGTTAGTTTAATTGTTATGGACAACTCTGTTTTGCTTATACATGTTTACAATCAAGATCATTCGAAAAAAAAAAGTTAATTCCATACAAACCTGAACAAGGTTTTGACGAGCTTTTGTCAACAGGTAATACTCTATACTATTGACAAAGTGCAGCAGCCTAAAACTGATTTTTTATCACTATTGAAAACAGTAAATACTAACTGTATTTTGAAACTAACTAAAATAATAAAAATCTCCAGCAACAATTAGCCTATATTATATTATTTATTTATTACTATTGTTTTGCGGTAGAAAGAGGTTTAAGAGGTTATCAATTTCAGCTTTTTAAGGTCCATGCCAGACTGTTTTTTTCCAGTGAAAGTAGTTAACTCTAAATAATTAAATCAGTTTAAATCTTGTATTTCTTTTTTAAGAGTAAATAGGGATAAATACAACAAAAGCTTTAGCCTGTATTATTATCTCCAGTGGCAATTGTTGTTGACTTATTAGTTAAAATATATTATAACAACTTCACTCAGCAGTCTGCATTATATTCAATTAGGTGTATATTTTGAGAACGCAGTGACAGTGATTCTAGTATGACATTGAATTGTTACCTGTGCCAAAAGTCCTTTGGGTCTGTTAATATACTGTTGTGGCACCTAAAACGTTTGCACACAGTTTCTCCCTATACTGATGTTTGATGTGGGCAAGGCAACTGTCCTAAAATATGTTCAAGTTTTCGTTTTTTTATTTGAGAATACATATTGCGAAACATCATCAGGAATTATATGTAGGTAATTTTGCATCTGTACCATTCTCCTCTAGTCAATGGGATGATTGTGAAACAAATGAAATCCAAATACATGAAAAAACTATGGCTGATGTAGATTGTGATAATGTAAATGATGTAGTTTTTGCTGATCAAATAAGTATACAGGAAAGCATGCAGGGTTCTTTTATTGCATTTATTACTAAGTTGCAAGCACGTTCTAATGTTCTTTTGACAAATACCGAGTTTGTAACTGAGAATGTTCAGGAGTTGCTGCAAGATTCAACGCAGTTTACAATGCAGCGTATTCGATCTGTTTTTAAAGAACTAGGTATTGACGAAAATATTTTCTGTGTACAAAATCTTTATAAAGATCTTGAAACAATGTCTACTTCTGTTGACAAAGTTGATACAGAACATAAACAGCTTGCTTATTTAAAGCAGCAGCAGTTGTACATTGAGCCTCAACCCGTACCTCTAGGAGTCAGGAAAGAGAGTCGTAAATCAGTTTTATCAGGCAATCGAGAAATGAAGAGCGTTGTAGATACTGCTCAATATGTTCCAATTGAAGTTTTATTAGCACGTATTATCATTGAATGCAAAAATATTTCTTTAAGTTTAAATTGTAATAGCCATGCCAGCAATGATGGAAACATTACAGATTACTTTGATACTAACACATACAAGAAACATCCTTTTTTCTCTAAATTTCCTGACGCTTTAGTTTTACATTTGTACATCGATGGATTTGAAACTACAAATCCACTTGGTCCACATATACAGATACATAAAATGGAAGGTCTGTACATGATGGTGCGAAATTTACCTTCCAAGCTACTTTTAAATGAAAGTTCCATTTTTCTTGTGGGTATGTGGTATGCCCAAGATGCTAAAGATAAAGCACTTACATATGATATTATTCTTGCTCCCCTAGTAAACACATTAATGAAGTTAGAATCGGATGACGGCATAGATGTATCTGTGTGTAATCAAACAATAAAAGTAAGAGCAGCATTAGCACTTTTCTCAGCTGATAATTTGGGGTATCATTCATTATTTGGCTTCTTAGAAAGCTTCAATGCGCGCAAGTTCTGTAGATTGTGTGAGGCAACTAAAGATGAGAATCAAACAAAATTTTATGAGACTGATTATGTTAAACGCACTAAAGAGTCATATGATGAGTCGGTTAATTCATTAGGTCAACTTGGATATAAAGAGTCTCATACCGGTATTAAACATGGATGCATTTTTAACAAATTTAAGTACTTTCATGTGATGGAGAATTTTGCAGTGGATGCAATGCATGATCTATTGATAGGCATTATACCTATTGAATTAATTGATATTTTAGGCAAACTAAGTGATGGTGGATACATATCTCTAAACGAGTTTAATTTGTTATTGACAAAATTTAGTTTTGGTTCTTCAGATGTCAATAGTCGTCCCACAACTTTTTCATCTTTGACACATTTAAAAATGACTGCTTCTGAATGTTGGTGTCTAATGCGAAATCTGCCGTTTATAATAGGACACAATGTCCCACGTGACGAACCTCATTGAAATTTACTTTTATTGCTCATGGAAATTGTAGATATTGTTTTATCTCCACGGGTTAATGATGGTTTAGCAAGTTATTTGTCACATCTAATAGGTGAACATCATCAAACTTATCTCAATTTATTTATGGAAAAGCGTTTAACACCCAAGCATAACTATTTGGTGCATTATCCTACAGCGCTCATAAGATGTGGTCCACCGTGTAGATATTGATGCATGCGATTTGAATCTCGGCATAACTTTTTTAAACAAATTTCAAGAGGTTCTCATTGTTTCAAAAACATAGCGTTTTCATTAACAAAGCGATCTCAAATTGCACTAGCAAATGCTTTTCTTGCTCACTCTCTGTTCAGCAGTCACACTGTTATTGGGACAACGAAGGAGAAGATTGTATGCCAAATTGAACCATGTGACGTTTGCCAGTTTTTGTGCAATAATTTTCTGTTATCCAAAACAGAAACAGTTCATGTTGCACAATGGATTGAGGTTGGTCATTACAGAATTGAAAAGAAAAGTGTAGTTGTGTGTGGTTTCTGTGATGGTATACCCGAGTTTAGTTACGTCGAATGCATTGTTTACCTTGGTAATATTGCATTTATGTTGTTAAGGCGGCTTACTGTTAACTACTTCGATAACCATTTTCATGGTTATGTTATTGACTACAATCCCTGCTCAAAGCTTTTTAGCACTCAAGTTGAAAAGTTGAAAGATCACATTCCATTAAACATTCATTACATCTTTTATGAGGGTAAAAAATTAAAACTTGTTAGTCCCAGATATGTAATCTTTTAGTCAGCTATTTTTCTTTGTGCTATATCTTCTTTTTTCTTTACATTAGCTGTTAAATCATGCTGACAATCAATTTTCTCATTTTTGTGCTTATGCAAATTATTTTGTGTTATTTTGTCAGTATATTAAAAAATATATGATAAATGGAGATTTAAATCCAAATTTAAATAATCTTAATACAAAGGAAGATAGTGTACTGTATCAATTTGAGCCTTTTATGCATTAAAAAAAATTATCCATTCATGTTTTTTTTTACCAAATTCATAAGGAATTACAATTTCGGCGATAATGAGTCAACACTAAAAAAAGCTTTTCTTGCCTAACAGTAAATGTAAATTACACTTATATTATTGTGTTTATTATTTTTCATTCTTCTACTATGACATCTTTTAATATATTCAGAATCGTGGGTGTTTATCCTTTAAGTTGTTTTGATTAGTTACATACTTTTACCTTTCTTAATACAAAAATTTAGGCGCCATGAGATAAAATTCTCTCAATAATTTATTATGCTAAGGAGCAATAGTAATAACTGTAATATTTCAATATTGACAATAAAAACATACCTAAAACAAAACAGCCAGGAAAGACTATACACAGCAAGAGGTAGACTAATTACAGCTGATCAGAGATTAAATGATTGAAATTAATTTTGGTTAAACTTTTCTGACTTTTCTTTTTTACAAATTTAATTCGTTATGTACTAATAGGCTAATAGCTGCATTTTGTCTTAGTATGTCGGAAATTTGACATTGGTGCAGATAGCAAAGTTTGTGTTGGATAGTGACAGATGTGAAATTGATCCTGATGATTTTCCAATAGTTTTAAGGTCTGATATGTCGGTGGTTATACTCAAACCAAGCGAATGTTGGAAAGAGGTATTGTATTATATTTCATGTGACTGTGTACAAACATAATAATTTATGAGTGTATTAATGTATGCTGGACAAAAAATGCAATGGCTCTGCAAAATCATCAATTGTTGTGCACTTTTACAACAATTTTGTGAATTGTTTTAATTTTACCATTGTTTGTCTAGAAAGTACAAGAAAGTCAATCCATAACAAAGGACACATTATTGTCAAGAACTAATGTCAGCAATGAAGGTAGCAATATTTTGCAAGTGACTACTCCTACTACTCCATCTAGCGAGGCTAGTAACAGAGACATAACTGGTATCAATGAAAATACTCCTACTTCTTCTGCATCAGGCATATTATCCAATCAAATGTCTCTGGAGTCATTCTTGCTACAGCATACAAAAACTAAACACCACATGATAAAATCGAAAACTGGAACCTATGGAATATCTGAAAGACAAGCTATAACATATGTGACTGCTGCTAAAGTTATCGACTGTTACGGGAATTACCCGCCGAAAGATAAAATGAAAATGGTTAGCATATTTCTTACCGGGATTACAGGTCTCAAACCGGAAGATTTCTTTGAACCAAAATCTCACAAGGGTTTTTTAGCTAAGTGCATTGAAAACCCACGCGCTAAACTTAGCAGCAATGAGAAACGATGGACGTGGACTCCAAAAGAGGAAAGGGATAAAGCTAGACAGACTTTGCAACAAAGTACTGCACCACTGTCTGATGCACTCTCTAGGAATTCATTGATAACTACAGTTCTACAAAATGATGAGTTTATTTTCACAGGTTGCTGTCGAGAATTGGAGGAGTGTGAATTCTGTGAAGGTTATTAGCATAATGTACTTAATTCAAAAATATGTTTTCTTTTTTTATTTGTTTTTAAATAACTGTTTAACTAATGAATATTGTGTAAACGCATTCATGTAGATTTGTGATTTTTTTTTAATATTATTTAGTACTACACATTGTGTTGTGTAAAACATAAAATTTAGCTTTGATTTACAGGTATAACAGGTGATGATTTAAAAATAGAAATGATCAAATTAGCCACCTTGTCGGCATCAGTTTTTGGTGAAGACCTTTTACTATCAGCGAAGAAAACGTTCTGCTACAGACGGAAAAAGATCGAAGAATGTCATCCATCATATTTAGAATGTGTACATCAAATACCATGTTACTTGTCTATGCCACAAATGGTTAATATTTTGTAAATAGATATTGAAAAGTAAATAAAACAGTTTTCAGTATATAAATTTATATTCACGTAATTATTTGTGTTTTTTCTTATTAGTGAGCTTATGATGTACAGATTTATTTAATGTTTAGCTGCTGCAAGATTTTCGTCGTATGTATCCTGATGCAGCTGATCGCTTTGTTGTGTGTATGGAAAATTTGATATCCTCTGTGCTACTTTATTGTTCCAAATCAACAGTTGAATACCTTCAAAAATGCAACACAGAGGGAATGATTGGAGGATCCAGTAAGTTAATATAAAAGTGGTATGAGTAGTGTTTTATGTTAATTTGAGGTTGACTGTTATTAATAAAGATAAATTGCTCATCATTACAGTGAAATTAATCGACTTATTGCATTTTTTATAGATGGAAAGACTATAGCTGCTATGAAATCATTGCTATACCTGTTGCCGATGACAGGAAAAAAGCGCCTGACGGCAAAGGAGTCGTTTGATTTGCTGATCGCATATGGGACGGTGAGCATTTTGGATGCATTGTTTTTCATTTTTAAAAAATGTCTTATGTATTTCTGCAATATTTTGATTTGTTGCTCTTTTTCTCTTTTAGTAAATAAATCTACAATTTGTCACATAAGAATTATAGTGTTCTATGTGACATTTTCAGGGATTATCTTTTTCCTAATATTCCAGGAATTCCGCATAATTTTTCTCATTTTTTTTCCGGATATTTAAAAAGTTTGCCGTAAATACAAATTTAAGTACCGTATTTTTAGATGCCCTTCCTTCATTATTGACAATATTTGAAATTTATATTATGCATATAAGAGCTATGAGTGGCTCTTAAAAAATACAACTTTAAAATAATGTTTAAATAAAAGGATTTGATTTAACATTTGTTTACTTAGTCGTTCAAAGTTATCCTGCAAATGGGGTTACTTTGAATATTTTTCTCAGTAAAAGCAAAACATATATTCAAAAACAGAGGAAATTAAGAGAAATTTTTTTGAAAATTAAGAGGAAATTAAGGGAAAAATCATTACGGATTTTTTCTGGATATTTTCCGCAAACGATTTTCTGGATTTTTAAAATATGACCTGGGTGATCTATTTTTCTATGTTGTGAGAATTTAACTATCGATTTTTTATTGTTAAAATGTTTCATTATATTTATAAATAATACATCGTTTTTGTTATTTATCTTTCATAATTAAGCTGTTAATATTAATATAATTTTTAATTGTTTTTTTTTAATTATACATTATTAATTAAACATTTTTATTAATAAATTATAACATAAAAAATGCAGATAGTACCCTATAATTCTCATGCGAAGAATTTTCTTATTAAGTTTTTATTTTGTCAAGTTAACGCTAACTTTGCACTAACTTAAATTAGTATTAATAGCACAAATTGTGAATATTTTAAATTTGTATATAATTGGAAATGTCATAATTTGCAATACATGTACTAATTGTTTATGTTTAGCCTGGCACTGGCAATTCTATAGATGTTCCACAAAACCTGGCTCATCCAAAGCTATACCTAGAATATTCCTTGAACGATGAAGACAAGATCACTGGGAGAATTGTGTGCGACGGAAAAGTTTGCTTGGCTGGATGTTCAATGGTGGAATGCTTGGATTACATGTTTAAGTTGTTTTGGATTTTCAATTTGGAGTATCCTAGCGGTTTAGAGATGTTTTTTAAATTTTTACAATTTATAATATATAAGTTAACTTTTGGCAAAGAAAGAATGGTTGGGACTGTCAATAGTGCAGCTCGTCTTTTTCAACTGTAGCAATACTAACTAGTGATCAGCACTGAAGGTGTATGAAAGTTGCTTTGTATGGTTAACAGTAGAGTATAGTTAGTTGAATATAAGTGCCAACAAAGTTGTACAATTGCTTCAGTTTTTTTCATTTTGTGTACTCATCATGCTGCAGTTATTACTTTTTATTGTATTCACTTGAATATTTAGTTGTTTAAATTGCTTTATAAAATTCAGTGTATATGCTGCATTTATTACATTGTATTTACATTAATATTTGGTTATACAAGTGGTTTTGTGTGCTCTTGTTACAGTTATTACATTGTATCAACTTGAATATTTAGCAGTGTAAACAATTTTCTTATTTTTCTGCATTTTTTATTTGAGCATCTTTAAAATACTTTTTTAATAGTTATTGAACTTCTTGTGTTGGAATTTATTGGTAGCTTTTGCTTGGTATAATCAAAATATTATTCCAATTCTGGTGTTAAAATAGGAATGTATAAACAAAGGTTTATTGTATTTTCAGTTTTAGATGCGATGTATTAAATTATGTTACTATTCAACTTTTTAAAACTATATTTCTTTATTTAGCAACTTAATGCTAGTTTAGTAACTTTTACAAAATAAATGTTCACTATTTAATAAGTTGAGTATTATTTAATGTTTGAAGTAGTTTATGCAGCTTGATTGTTGGAGTATCAGTTGTACGTATCTACAAGATCATTGTATATAAAGGAGTTAAGTTAAACTGTTAATATAGTTAAATAGTTAAGTTTAAACTGAACTTAGATTATCAGGTTTCTGTGCTATTACTTTATGCTGTGCTAAATTTAAAATTGCGTTTAAATTTTTTTTAATATTTGTTTTGTATGCAGCTTGATTGTTGGAGTATCAGTTGTACGTATCCACAAGATAATTGTATATAAAGGAGTTAGTAGTTAAGTTTAAACTAAACTTCGGTTTTCAGGTTTGTTATGCTTTTAATTTTTGCTGTATAATGATTAAAATTGCATTTAACGCTTTACATTCTATTTATTAATATTACAATAAATTAAATTTTTTTGTATTGAAATAGGTAATATTTCAAAACAAAAGGTAATAGGTAATATCTATGGAAATTTTTAATTTAGCCAAGTACCCCTTGTTTTTATTTTTCATAGATGCTCAGGTTAAGACTCAGGTTACGGCTGCTATTAAAGCATTGATCTTTTTGTTACCGATGACTGGAAAAAAATGGTTAACAGCAAAAGAATTTAAACAGTACAAAATTGAACTATTAACTTTTGTTATAAAAGTTCATTATATAGCGTAGATTCACTTTTTAAACTGAACTAACAAATTTTGTTGTTGTTGTCCTGTATATATATATATTTATTATTGTTTAAAATGTAACTATGCCAATCTTAAGTTGTGATCTTGACATTTGTAAATTTTTACTGTGTACTATTTGTAGATTACAGTTATTAATATGTATATGTACTTTGTTGTTGTTTTTATCGATTATACGTTTTTCGAAAATAGATTTAAACTTACAATAATAATTAGGGTAAGGAAGTTTTACTCTAACTGCTGCCTTAAAATTAAGAAATCTTTTTTTCAGTCTTGATCTTACCAAAAAAATATCACGTAAAATAATCAAATTTTGCCTTGAATGAATTTTTACTATTTTAAGAAAATTATTACTTATGGATTTCCTTATTTTAAGGGAAATAGTTTTAAGGAAAGAAATTTCCTTAAAAACAATTTTCCTTAGTTTAAGGAAATCTTTACCAGTGCTGTTTTTAAGGGATTATTTCCTTATTTTTTCCCTTAAAAATAAGGAAAGATTGTTAAGGAAAGAAATTTCCTTAAAAACCAATTTCCTTAGTTTAAGGAAATCTTTACCAGTGCTGATTTTAGGGGATTATTTCCTTAATTTTTCTCTTAAAAATAAGGAAAGATTTTTTTGAGTGTTAATATGTGTCTTAGTAAATCCAGTTTTGAGAAATCTCAAAATTTTGAGGAGAAAACTATAAAAGGAGCAAGTATAATTGGATAAAAATTCTAAAATAAGAGCATGATGATAGTGCCTGACTAACTAAAACGAAATTAATTGAATAGTTTACACAAAGAACACATAAAGTCTTAGGATTCATTTCGAAAAGCCTAGCTTGACTACCTTTTACTTTTCCTTTCATGTCAACACTTTTGTCATATGACTGATCTCAACAGTCAAGAATATTTAGATTTCATTTTTTTCCCTAATTTAAAAACCTATCCAAAAGCCCTTTTTTAATGGTACTCACATATCCAAAGAAAAACAGCAAAACATATGGCGTACAGGTTAAAATAATCGAAAAGTATAAAATAATAAAACGCCTTTTTTATCATGGAAAGGTTTTCGGGTTAAGTTTCCTGGGCTAAACATATTATTAATTTATTCTGTGTCAAATAGTGCTCATTGATTACTTTATTCTGGATGGTATGAAACTAATAATTCAAACACCTCAAAAAATTTCTATCGCTTTTAAACCAATGGCCGTGTCTAGAATTTTTTTCGAACACAGCTTTCCAAAATATCAGTTCGAATTGCTATGCCTGCAATAATATTAACAAACTAACAATAAAAAACTAACAAAGCAAGTTGAAAGAAACATCGAAAAACCTTTTTTTAATGTCATCCAGTGTTCAAAGCACATAAAAAGTGCACTCAATGTCTTAATGTTTCCTATATTTTAAGCAATCATTTCTTTTCGAGATGGTGATTAATTTGTCCCAAAAAGTTTGCAACTAAAGTAAAACACTTTCATCACTATTTAAATAATGTCATGTTCTTTCAAAGATTTTTCCAATATTCATCTTATAATAATAATAATTCACTGAAAGTTCTGAATACTTTAATAAAAAATTAAAAATACTTGAAATATTTCTGTACATCGTAATACTGTAATCCTAGTATTTCAGTGTTTCAGCCGATTTAACTTCAGATATTGCACACAAACGATTTTAAACATTTTTAATTATAAAAATTTGAAAATTGTAGAGATCTGTCTGACGACAATGTCGTAAATTTGTTCGGAGTATAACAACAAATGCAAGTGAATCTAATATAACGTGCGCAACGAGTTTTAGTTGATGGAACAAGAGATTTAGATGTGTTAGTATTTGTAGAAAAGAGAAAGAGATACAACTTTACGACAATTGGAAAAAGGCTCAAGCTTGTAAGAAAAGCAGGTTCAACTACGTTTTTTGATGATGCTCAAATGATACTCAATGAGCTGATTCTTCTCAAATCATCATTTGAGAAGAATCAGCCCCCAAATATGGCAACAATGTTACATATAAGGACGAATAAGAAATTTATAGGGCAAAGTAGTGGTATTATTAGTGGTACATTAGTATTTGAGGTAGTTAATGGACTCATGAGTAAAAAAAATAATACTCCAAGAAGACGTAAAATAGAAGACTCATTGAGTGGCCAAATATAGGAATATCGATAATATTGTGATATTTGTTTGCAGTAAATAACTAAGTTTTGTTTGAGTTAAAATTGACATGCCACTGTGAAACCGAAGCTGGTGCAGAAGAAAATACAGATTCAAGATCGGCTGCCTGTTTTAAGCGATTGAAAAAGATGACTTTATGTCAGGACATGAGTTAAGTCGTGAGCAGTGGCTAGCAATTGTAAATACATGTATAGTAATTAACAATTTTTTGGCTAACTTTCATATAATTTTTATCGGCAGAAGTTTTCTAATTTGGTTAATTTTTATTCTAACATCAATTTTGATGATATCATAAAGAATTTCATTATAAAAAGATATAGGGAAATAAACTTTAAGGGCATATTGTATGACAATGTTGATTTTTTAAATTTTGAAGTTATAAGTTTTTGCAATTGTCATAATTATAAATGTGTAGAAAGAAAAGTAAATGTCAAAAAAGTTTTAACAAAACATAAATTTGACATATTTAGTAACAAAAAAATAAATAAGTTTTTAAAAAATTTTCCAAGCTATTGGGTATGCGAGAAAAATTTTAAACTATTTTTATATAATTAATTATTGTATATCGTTAAAAAGAGAGCTTTTAATTAGTATTACAACAGTGAAAAGTTCATAAAAAACAAATGATTCTACAATAAGTTATGCTCATTTAAGATCTTAAATTTAAGAAACACAATTTAAGAAAATTGCTTTAGTAACCGAATTGTAACCAAATTGAGAAACTCTCTTTCGGCAAACGGTAGTTTTCTAATAAAACATTTTTTTTTTAAACCGCATAAATTTATGCGAACCGTAAAACATAAATAAACATAAAATTAATATAATAAATACATTAATGAAAGTTTAATATATAATAAAAATTTAATATATAAATGCATAACCTGCTCTATTGCCAAGCCCTTTAATCTATACTGTAAATGTAACTCAAAAAAAATTAAGAAACCGTCACATACTATAATATAAATGTTATAAAGACTTTATAAATAAAATTTATTGGTCCTAAGGTCCTACTTTAACTTTTTTAAACAATTTTCAACACTTTTTTGTTTTCAAGTATTGCTTAAAAAAAAATTTAAATACAAAGATTAAACATTTAGCATGATACTATTTTATTAAAAGCATGCTAGCAAACACGCATCATCCCTTTTAAACTAGTAAACGCCTTCAAAATCTGAAGTACACGTCAGAAATCTTATAAATAATAACTTTTCATAATAGAAGAATTGAAGCGATAACAAATGACATGACCCTATCAAAGTTTGCCAAGCTGATAATGACAAGCCTTGAAACTTTGGGTGAGTTTATCAAGAACAACCCGTAATACCTGATGTATTACGGGTTGTTCTTGATAAATTTTTTTGTTACTAAATATGTCAAATTTATGTTTTGTTAAAACTTTTTTGACATTTACTTTTCTTTCTACACATTTATAATTATGACAATTGCAAAAACTTATAACTTCATTAACACAAATTGGTAATTTATGGTTTTTCTTAAAGTGAGAAAACATAATATTGGGTAAATCCAGGGAGTTCGAAAAGTATGAGAGTGTAAATGTTTTTCTATGAAATTTGACTGGTATGTAAAAAATAGGTGTAGAAATTTAAGCGAATATATAAGAAAAATAAGTCAACACGATTTCAATATCGATGCAATTCCACAATAGAAAAAAAAGTTTTTAATATTAATGAAAAACGAATCGGAAAATTTTTTTTTCGAACACAGCTCTCCAAAATATCAGTTCGATTTGCTATGCCTGCAATAATATTAACAAACTAACAATAGAAAACTAACAAAGCAAGTTAAAAGAAACATCGAAAAACTTTTTTTTAATGTCATCCAGTGTTCAAAGCACATAAAAAGTGCACTCAATGTTTTAATGTTTCCTATATTTTAAGCAATATTTTAATATAACGTGTAAAATCGGTGTCGTAAATGTCAGATACGCACGTAACCTAAAGTTATAGATTAATGTGCTAATTGTTTCAACCAAAATCACAAAACAAGCAGAAAACCCACAGAAAATATAAGTAACATAAAAAGAATTTTTTGTAAAATTTGAAAGTTTAAAAATCTTTTATTGTGGTTCTTTAGATGTACTTTGTGCATACAAATGAATAATCTATTTCTGCAGGATCACCGCAAAATTCTTCATAAAACTATTTAGCATCTATTTTTTGCTCTTCAATTTCATTTTGTACAAAATATTCTAATCCTGCTCTTGTACCTAGTAAAAGACGGAGCAAGGTAGAGAACGTTTTAAAAACCCTGAATTATTGCAAAATTTTGCAATAATTCAGGGTCATGAAACAATAATACTTTGTCAGTATGTTTGTTTTACGGTAATGTTTCATTGTCCGCATAAACCTTTCAGTTGGCAAGTAGATAAACTTAAAATAAAAACTAAAATGTAAATATCTCAAATTCGTCATCTTATCACATGACCGGGGAAGGATAATTTATGCGTTTTTTGTCTCTAATTTTGTAACATTTTAAAAAGTACCAACTACTCTAACTAAAGTAACACAAAAACACGCACCGCAAAAAAAATATTCATAAAAAAGTGACACCATCTATTGGCAATAACCGAAACCGAGGTACTTTTTTTACGCGCAAAGTATAAACTTATGAGTATAAAATCACGTTAACGATAAAAAATTCAAACGGTGTTTTAAAATAAAAGATATAAATACAGTTTTATTTCCACCCATTTTTTATTTCCATCCATTTTTTAAATTTTTTTGTCGAGTTGTTATATATAAAACCATCTTGCCGCGGTTTCCCCTATTTGAACAAACTTTTCAGCTCAAGCAAGTGAAATATATCAATAACATTGTTGCTAAGAAAGTAAATTTTTCGCAGGTATGCTCACTTTCTGCTGTGAAACAATCAGTGTCTATGCCAATATGGTGATTTTGTTTGACTTTTAAAACTTTTAATTTTTCAATGACTTGTTGCACATTGATAATTGATAATAATAGTAGACTAAT